GTAGGTTCTGATCCATAGCAACACTGTATAGGGTTTCCCAGGAGCAGCTGGTAGGCTTGAACCACTAACCTTGTGGTTCAAACTGACTTTGCAGTCCAGCGCATTAGCCTGCGGTGCCACACCAGGACTCCAGATAAATGTTATGATGATGGTATCTTTAAAACTTGATACAAGTGTTCTGGAATCCTGGTGGGGTGCTATAGGATCAGCACTGGACTGTGAACCACAAGGTCAGCAGTTCAAACCTACCAGGTACTCCTCAGAAACCCCATACAGGATCACTATGAATCAGAACCAACTTGACAGCACTTAACAATAACAACAATGTAAATGTGCTACACCTTTACAACCACAACAAAGAAACTAACACCTGCTCACATAAGTTTTATTTTAAATACATAGTCACAAGAACAACATTTTGGCCTGTCCTGTGGTAGGAGTCTTGGTATATGCTAAGGGTTAATGCCCTGGACTGCAAGGTCAGTTTGAAGCACCAGGTCAGTGGCTCAAACCCACCAGCCATTCCTCGGAAACCCTATACAGGGTCGGTATGAGTCAGAACCAACCTTAAGGCTCTTAACAACACCAACAAAAGGTGGTGCTGTGAGGTCAGTGGTTCAAACCCACATCTGACTCCAGAAGAAAGACCCGGCAGTCTGCTTCTGTAAAGTCCTAGGAACCCTATGGGGCAGTTCTACTCCGCTGTATAGGGTCACTATAAGTCTGAACTGACCCAACAGCAATGGGTATGGTTTATTCCAGTTTCTAAACCAGAGGGTGGGACTTTATCAAAGAGCAGAAGCTTTTAAGGATCTAGCAAAAGATGAAATTTCACAAGTCTCTAAACATTGTGATAACTATTTTACCCTTCTAACTTATTCTCTATATTAAGACCTTTTAAATTTTGGAAAATGAGGTGGGCTCTGTGTTTTTTGGTCAAAGCTCTATGATCCCTTCCAGAAACCCAGGAAGTATCTCACCATCCAGGGACATGGCCAGCTGCTCACCCCAGCTCCAGATTCTTCTCCTCTCTTGGGTGATCTCTTACAAAGTGAAGTTCCTTTTCACTGGGAAACCATCCCAAGTTGTGTAATGTCATTGTTGATAAGTACTGTAGATTTGGTTCCAA